TTTCACATAGTCTCTTTTTTAAAATGCATATTAAATTTTTTCCACCTTCCCCCAACAGTTACTATTTTACACACATTAAAATTCAGTCATAGTCAGCCTTGTTAACTAGACAGGTTTGTGCATCTTATTTCTATGTGTAGTCGCATAAACAACTTCTGGTTTTGTTATGTTGTACCATGAAGTATGCAACAAATTAAACAATATAATGCCTGATTGAACATTTCTAAAATTGAGTTATCTTCAAGGTCTTAATGCTGGGACACCAGCATGTAACTAAAATAGAAAATGTGCACGAATCAGATACAAATAAGTTGGCTGAAAGTGGCACTGCTTATAGTGACCAAGAATCAATGGCATATACATTTGATTTTTTTAATATCAAAATTTGAAATATATGTAAACTATAACATTGAACAACTATGCATCATTGGTTTTCGGCCAGTCTTTTTCATATCAACTGGCCAAATGGGTCAGTGAAAGTCTTCAATTGACAAATAAAAATTTAAGTTGATAGCCTGAAAGACCAATGGAAAAAAAAATTATTTCCTGCCCTGTGTTTTACAGCAAATGATATAAAACAAGAGGCCCAAGGGCCTTAATGGTCACCTGAGTATAATACAACAATTTAGAGAATCCATAGAGTATAAAATGAACTGAAAAGTGAAGCTTTGTTGCCCAAAAGCAAGAAAAATAGGGTGATCAGGATCAACAAAATAATTAGTCTAGTGTTCATTAACAGTTCATAAATTAGGTTCTAATCTGTTCCCCATTTATCACTATCATCATACAGTATATTAACAAACTATCAGTGCTTCTGTACTATTTTAATTCCTTGTTGAAATCTCTTACATTGGACTCTCTTGGTCTTTGATGAACATTGAATAAGACAAGTTATTTTTGTCTCATTTTTATTTATCTATTACTTACAAGTCTACCTGATCATTAAAACTACGAAAGTACTTTTTGTATTATACAATAAAAAATCTTGCAAAATTCTCTTATTCTATTAACCTTTCAAGTACATTATTTACAGTGACTAATTATCAAAAGTAAATGGCAAAGGGGAATAACTCCCCTCAGTAGAATACAAATTAATAGAGCCCTGGCCAGGACCAGAACACTTGACAAAATGGTCCAGATGTTCAAAAATATTTATTAAAACTTTTACTCTTTTTGCCTCTGATATGCCCAGGTGCAGAGAAGATTTTCAAAGAAATAATGCATTTTTTACTACAGATTCACTACATTATCAATAGAGCCCCCCAGCCCCCCCCCCCCCACACACACACACCCCACCTCCCATCCCCACCGAGAAACACCAGAGCCTCTCACCCTGGGACCAAAGTTTATTCATCATACATGTAAGTAATCACTTTGTTTATCTGATTAACACTAAGGAGCAGACAGGATTATTTAACAGAATTAATGCATTTTCACTATATTATCAAGAGCCCCACCCTTACACCAGCACATCTGACCCAGGGGTCATGCAATTCATTACTCTGGAAGAAGCAATCATGCTCATCATAACTATACACTTAGCTTCTTTGCTTTTTAACCAGAAGCAGAAAAGAATATTTTCAGAGAAATTTTGCTTTTTCACTATATAATCAATAGAGCCCCCCCCCCCCCCTTTTCACCAGAACCCTTGACCCTGGGGCCATGAAATTCACAATTTTGGAAGAGGCATACTTGTGTATCATAACAATGTACTAATAGTTTGTTTAAATAATACCCAGGGGCAGAGGAGAAGATTTTTAAAGAAATAATTCACCTTCACTATAGGATATATATGGCCCCGCCCTAGCACCAGAACCCCTGTACCTGGGGCCATGAATTTCATAACTTTGGAAGAAGCATCCTTGCTTATCATAACAATGTACTTAATTTGTTTAAATAATACCCAGGAGTAGAGAAGAAGATTTTTAAAGCATTAATGCATTTTCACTATATAATAAATAGAGCCCCACCCTAACACCAGAACCCCAGATCCAGGGTCCATGAAATTCACAATTTTGGAAGAGGCATCCTTGCTTATCATAACTATGTATTTAATTTGTTTAAATAATACCCAGTAGTAGAGAAGATTTTTAAAGCATTAATGCATTTTCACTATATGATTTATATAGCCCAGCCCTAGCACCAGAACTCTTGACCCTGGGGCTATGAATTTCACAATTTTGGTAGAGTCACCCTTGCTTATCATAACTATGTATTCAATTTGTTTCAATAATACCCAGGAGTAGAGAAGAAGATTTTCAAAGAAATAATGCACTTTCACTATATGATTTATATAGCCCCACCCAAACACCAGAACCCCTGACCCCTCAGGCCCCAGGGGGGCAGGGACCATGAAATTCACAATTTTTGTCCCCCTTCACCCATAGATGCTATATGCCAAAATTGGCTGAAATTGGTTGAGCGGTTTCAGAGAAGAAGCTGAAAATGTTTAAATGTTAACGCACGACGCACGTCGCACGATGACGGACAAAAACGGATAGCAATAGGTCACCTGAGTAACTCAGGTGACCTAATAAAACCAATTACTAAAAGAAGTAGCAGGATTATAAAACATTTCTGTAAAGTTTTCCCATATCACTTACACGAAGGAACAGTTTTCTGGTAAAGCTAAATTTGCTCATGATGAAGAATGTCAGTCCGAACCAAATCAACCCAAACACGGTCAGCAAGCTGTTGTAGCAGACATAAGGCTGGAACTGAATCTGTAATGATAAAGAATGTCAGTCCAAACCAAATCAACCCAAACACGGTCAGCAAGCTGTGGTAGCAGACATAAGGCTGGAACTGAATCTGTAATGAATTAATAATGTCAGTCTGAACCAAATCAACCCAAACACAGTCAGCAAACTGTTGTAGCAGACATAAGGCTGGAACTGAATCTGTAATGAATTAACAATGTCAGTCTGAACCAAATCAACCCAAACACAGTCAGCAAACTGTTGTAGCAGACATAAGGCTGGAACTGAATCTGTACAAAAGGTAAAATTTATCTCACAAACTGATTTACATCAAACCAACTGTCTCTATGTCTGAAAGTTTACACAGTGTTATACAACCCTGATTTATACATATATAACAATGTATCAATGGATATATTTATACCACTAGTCTACAGTCATTCTGAGATATTGTACAATTTTTAAAAATGTTCTTTGAATCTCATGAATACAAACATCTGTATCTTACAGGTTTTTCTTTCCTCTCGGTGAAGTTAAAACGTTGTGATCTGTAAACAACAGACTTGTCACTCCCAAGGAAGGGGGCTGTCCATTTCTTGTTAATGTCATTTTTAAATAACATCCCCCTAAAACAGAAAAAAAAGGATTCATACCTTAAAGTCTAGTATTTCAATTTTAAACATTGAAGTATGAAAACATTGTTTTATTTAGTTTTTTCAAATCAGATTTTGCCTCTTAACATGTCTATCCATGATCTTAAACAAAATATTCATATATCTTATATATATTAGGTATACATGAGCTTTCCTTGTTGTGATAGGGAGTTTGTCCATGTTAGAATTACTGTATCACTGTAACACATGCTGTATAAAGAGAACAGGGAGTATGTACATGGAAGAGTCAAGCAACATGTACTGTTTAGGGAGTATGTACATGGAAGAGTAAAGTAACTTGTACCATTTAGGGAGTATGTACATGGAAGAGTAAAGTAACTTGTACCATTTAGGGAGTATGTACATGGAAGAGTAAAGTAACTTGTACCATTTAGGAAGTATGTACATGGAAGAGTCAAGCAACTTGTACCATTTAGGGAGTATGTACATGGAAAAGTAAAGTAACATGTACCATTTAGGGAGTATGTACATGGAAGAGTCAAGCAACTTGTACCATTTAGGGAGTATGTACATGGAAGAGTAAAGTAACTTGTACCATTTAGGGAGTATGTACATGGAAGAGTAAAGTAACTTGTACCATTTAGGGAGTATGTACATGGAAGAGTCAAGCAACTTGTACCATTTAGGGAGTATGTACATGGAAGAGTAAAGCAACTTGTACCATTTAGGGAGTATGTACATGGAGGAGTAAAGTAACTTGTAAGATTTAGGGAGTATGTACAATGGAAGAGTCAAGTAACTTGTACCATTTAGGGAGTATGTACATGGAAAAGTAAAGTAATTTGTACCATTTAGGGATTCTGTACATGGAAGAGTCAAGTAACTTGTACCATTTAGGGAGTACGTACATGGAAGAGTCAAGTAACTTGTACCATTTAGGGAGCATGTACATGGAAGAGTCAAGTAACTTGTACCATTTAGGGAGCATGTACATGGAAGAGTCAAGTAACTTGTACCATTTAGGGAGTATGTACATGGAAGAGTCAAGCAACTTGTACCATTTAGGGAGTATGTACATGGAAGAGTCAAGTAACTTGTACCATTTAGGGAGTATGTACATGGAATAGTCAAGCAACTTGTACCATTTAGGGAGTATGTACATGGAAGAGTAAAGCAACTTGTACCATTTAGGGAGTATGTACATGGAGGAGTAAAGTAACTTGTACCATTTAGGGAGTATGTACAATGGAAGAGTAAAGTAACTTGTACCATTTAGGGAGTATGTACATGGAAAAGTAAAGTAATTTGTACCATTTAGGGAGCATGTACATGGAAGAGTCAAGTAACTTGTACCATTTAGGGAGCATGTACATGGAAGAGTCAAGTAACTTGTACCATTTAGGGAGTATGTACATGGAAGAGTCAAGTAACTTGTACCATTTAGGGAGCATGTACATGGAAGAGTCAAGTAACTTGTACCATTTAGGGAGTATGTACATGGAAGAGTAAAGTAACTTGAGCATGTACATGGAAGAGTCAAGTAACTTGTACCATTTAGGGAGTATGTACATGGAAGAGTCAAGCAACTTGTACCATTTAGGGAGCATGTACATGGAAGAGTCAAGTAACTTGTACCATTTAGGGAGTATGAACATGGAAGTGTCAAGTAACTTGTACCATTTAGGGAGTATGTACATGGAAGAGTCAAGTAACTTGTACCATTTAGGGAGCATGTACATGGAAGAGTCAAGTAACTTGTACCATTTAGGGAGTATGTACATGGAAGAGTCAAGCAACTTGTACCATTTAGGGAGCATGTACATGGAAGAGTCAAGTAACTTGTACCATTTAGGGAGTATGTACATGGAAGAGTCAAGCAACTTGTACCATTTAGGGAGTATGTACATGGAAAAGTAAAGTAACTTGTACCATTTAGGGAGTATGTACATGGAAGAGTCAAGCAACTTGTACCATTTAGGGAGTATGTACATGGAAGAGTCAAGCAACTTGTACCATTTAGGGAGTATGTACATGGAGGAGTAAAGTAACTTGTACCATTTAGGGAGTATGTACAATGGAAGAGTAAAGTAACTTGTACCATTTAGGGAGTATGTACAGTGGCGCCTCGTTAATCCGGATGCCTCTGTCCCCAACAAAATCATCCGGATAAATGAATCGTCCGGATAATTGAATCACATCTCAAAAAGCACTCTCTAAGCATGTACATTGTATATATGCACATTCTTGTTTCAAATGTGACAGCAAAGAAAAAAACTTTTAAATTATATTTTGGTTTATTGTTTTAAAAGCAGTAATTGATTAAAGAAAAAAATATATTAAGATGTAATTTACACAATAAAAAAAAAATGGATGGGCAATTTTATGCAGACCTCCTATTTTAATTCGCCTTCTCTTTGGCCTGTGACTTCATGGGCTGAGCAAATTTTGATCTACAGTTGTTTTATTTAGCCATATATTATAATTATTGAAGCTCATATGATATGACAGAACTGTTCAGCATCATCATTAAAAATGTTCAAATATAAACTAACCCCGTATATTCAATACACAGGGTTACTATAAAATTAACTGCAAGCTTACTTAAACAAAGTATTAAAAACATTCGTAAACACAAGTCATCTTCATGATTATCAATATTTTTTTTCTACAGACGCTAAGTTTGAATTTCGATCATTAAAAATACCTTGATAAACGTAATCAACTTCTGTACTTAACGCCAGTTTTATATACCTTTTCTAAAGCAATGGACGTTTGTAAACGGTAGTACATTAAATAGAGATATTTCTTCAGTTATGTACCTTTCTAAACTGTTTTGTGGGGAAAAAGCGTTTCAAATACATTTACGTTTTTAGAAATGGAAAACAGTATTTTAAACTAACGCAATCAACATGATAAAGAACATTACAAAATCGCTGGTTATTTATTGTTCATTTTATTTACAACTCTCCAAAATTCTCATGAATTTACCGATGTACATATGGTTAGCAATATGATTTTGAACAGATTATTATTTAATTAATGCACAGTGTAAGCTAAATATTAAAGATAAACGTGTGATTGAACTAGGGTAAACACACGCTAATTATAGATGCTATTGTTTGTAGGTCACATGTAACCGTCTTCAAACTGACTGCATGGCCAATGATTTTACAACAATTAACACGAATGCAAGCGAAGTGTGAAAAAGTCGTTTCTTGAAAAATTACCGTCCGGATAAACGAGTCATTTTTCAATGAACTATTACGTTTTGTAGTAGAAATTGACCGTCCGGATACGGAACGCGAATTTCCGGATTAATGAGACAAAATAACATGGAAAAAATCGGTTCCCAAAAAATATCGTCCTGATGGTGAAGCGTCCGGATAAATGGCGTCCAGATAAACGCAACGCCACTGTACATGGAAAAGTAAAGTAATTTGTACCATTTAGGGAGCATGTACATGGAAGAGTCAAGTAACTTGTACCATTTAGGGAGCATGTACATGGAAGAGTCAAGTAACTTGTACCATTTAGGGAGCATGTACATGGAAGAGTCAAGTAACTTGTACCATTTAGGGAGTATGAAGATGGAAGAGTCAAGTAACTTGTATCTTTTAGGGAGTATGTACATGGAAGAGTCAAGTAACTTGTACCATTTAGGGAGTATGTACATGGAAGAGTCAAGCAACTTGTACCATTTAGGGAGCATGTACATGGAAGAGTCAAGTAACTTGTACCATTTAGGGAGCATGTACATGGAAGAGTCAAGTAACTTGTACCATTTAGGCAGTATGTACATGGAAGAGTCAAGTAACTTGTACCATTTAGGGAGTATGAACATGGAAGAGTCAATTAACTTGTACCATTTAGGGAGTTTGTACATGGAGGAGTAAAGTAACTTGTACTGTTTAAGGAGTATGTACATGGAAGAGTCAAGTAACTCATACCGTTTAGGGAGTTTATATTTGGCAGGAGGAAGTGGTTCTGGAAACAAGGCCTTTCTGAGAGACTTAAGTTCTCCTTCATGAAGAAACCCATATATGGCAGATTCCAGAGTCCCATTGTTAACGGCCATTCCATGTGGACCAGCATGTATCTCCAGATAACTCTCTATGGCATTGATTTGACCTTAAATTAACAAAATGGATAAATTTTATTTCATCAGGATGAACAAAACATTAATGCAGAGAAGTTCATTGTCATTTAAATTTTTAATACACTGCATAAATGATGTATTTCATTTGGTTACATGTACATGCACATTTACCTTTGTTTTAAGATTCAATCTTGAAAATTTTGACTTAGATGAACTTTGGAATTTTACCTACAGCCACTGCCTTCTATAACAACATGTACTACTTCCAATTGTATTTCAAAATCTGAATACATAATGTAACATATCTTTTCCTAATGATTAATCAAATGTTCGAACCTTCAAATTTTTTCTTGGCAAACAGAATGCCAGATTCAGCAGGGATGCTATCGAATCCACAGGCACTAATGACAAAAACACCGCTCTTCTGTGCTTCTCCGTTGTACTTCAACTGCATCTTTTCTATGTACTATTGCAAAAAAATCTAGTTTTATACAATGGGATGTCTGCATTAAAAATTAATATAAACAAATTCTATTTTTCAATCAGTTGGTGATTTAAAAAAAACACTCAAGTGTAAAGCACAGAAGTTGTATTCTGCATATAATCAGATCACTTTACCATGAATATGGGATGGTTTGTTTATGAAACAATTATCAAAAAATGGTGCTTATGATTTATATTATTTGGGAAAGCTTCAGTATTCATCTTTATGCCTAATTTTTTTTTCTCTCACAGTCACCATCAGAGATCAGTAAAATTCACAAACACCTAAAATCAAACTCTAAACTTTAGCAGTAAAATACATGCACTATGTATTTTTTTCTTGCAAATAAGAGATAATTCATCAGTACTACTCTGAGAAGGTGCAGGTGTTTGTTTATACTTATAGGTGCACAGTACTTTTTATCATGATAGCAATTTTTTTGTAACTTTAAAGTGGACCAAAACAAAATTGGAGTTTTTGATACATGCACTGTACCCTTTTACTAGTATCCCAGTAATAACCTACTTTACTTTTTTGCTTATTGTGCCCTAGGAATTATTTCCGATTTTGACAGGTGCTTGTTTCACTTTACCTATACTTTACTTACTGCAGGTTCTCCACTTATGTCCAGGTGATGTGCTCCACCCTCAACACAGGCTTTAACCACTTGTTCTCCATAAAAACGATACTGTACAAAAGAGGAAGAAAAATCAAGAGGCACAAGTTAGTGCATACTTTAGTAGAACTATCTTCTCTGGCCTTTGTGTTTATAAATCAATATGATCAATCCAATTGGAAATCAATTTTCTCCTGCCATTGAAAGAGATTTTCTGAAATTTTAGGAAATATATAAAATTTTAAGATAACTTTCTACAAATGAAAAAAAAAAAAACATAGGTACTCAAAGATGACATATCTCATATCATCAAATGTTATCTTTAAGTAAGGAAAAGTTACACACTAAACAAATAATTTAGTAGTGTGCATTGATATATTATTTATGCAAGATTGATCCAGGTGGGGGCTTGTAATTACTTGGGAATGGACTTGCTCTAAAAACTTAAACCTGGTCACTCATCCACAAAAATGCAGGTCAGGTTTAGCATCCAAAACAAGTCTGGTAGTGTGCATCCTTAGATGTATCCTCTGTGCAAGTTTGGTCAATTAAGCCTTATGGTTACTTAGAAATGAGACCTGCTCCAAAAACTTTAACTAGCTCCAAAAATATTAAGAAGGTCATTCTTTGGCTGAAAAGGCAGTATCTGAAACCTGACTAGTATAAAGAAACATACTAGAAGTATCATCCATGCATATATGATCAATATAGGGCATAGAAGTACTTGGAAAGAAATCTATTCCAAAAACTTTAATCTGGGAGGCTGGCACTGATGCTGAGGGTATTATACAAACTCCCTAAACTTTGTTAAGGTGAGGTAAAAAGAACAAGTCCACGACACTCAGAAAGTGCATAACAGAGTCAAATCCCAATTTAATTTTCTTCCCTAAAAATGGCAATCAATCATGATGTAATGTATAGATCAATAACCAATCTCATACTATTTTTACAAAGTAGAAAAAATAACTTCTTTGTTCATTCTCTGTCTATAATCCATCACAACATCTAGAAAATGTTTCTTTGCCAGAGGGTATAATATTAAAATAACATATAACTCTGTCCACAGTTGCTGACTGAGATAAATTTCATTCAAGTATTAAAGAGTCATCACATTGTTTGTATTTTTTCTTCTTTACAAATTCATACAACAATATACAATTCACAATTCATCAAATTAAAGAGCAAGAATTTTGTATAAGCAATTGCTAGAATTATATTTATTTGTTTTAAATATGTTCAACTGCTTTCTGACATTATCTTCTATCAACAAAAAAAAATGTCATGTAATTTCTACTTACTGGGCCAACACAATTCAAGACCAGCCTGGCCTGCTTAGCCATCTGTAGAAGAGATTCCTCATTTGATGTATCTGCTATTATGATAGGGATGGATTCTAAATCAGCTCCTAAAAAAAATGTTAACAAATGTAATGGTTTGGGCCGTGGATATTGACCTGGGTAGCTTAGTCGGTAGAGCACCTGAATAGTAATGCAGGGTCCCAGGTTCGATTCCCGCCCCAGCCATACATTTTCTCCTTTCCTGTTACAGATTTGGTGCTGTTGACCACCCCTGGAATTGCAGGTGAAAGTCCTGCCAGGGGCTTATAAGAACTTGGGTTGTGTCTTCGAGGGCGAAGACAATTTAAGGAGGGAGGAATGTAATGGTTTGGGCTGTGGATATCGGCCTGGGTAGCTCAGTCAGTAGAGCACCTCACTAGTGATGCAGGGGTCTCGGGTTCGATTCACAGTCCAGTCATACATTTTCTCCTTTCCAGTTACACAAATAATAATTATAGAATATAACGGTATTTATTGTACTTGTAAACAAACATTTAATTGAATATTTGTTATAAGACAGATTACATTTCTTATAAATAATTCATCTGTTACCTGACATTTTATAAAATCAAATTATATGGAAAAACAAAATGATTAATTCAATATTGTTATAAGACTTTGTTGTGCACATGGTGTATTCTACTATTTAAATTTAATCATCAATCAGTTGTAAACCATGTTTGGATATCGGCCTGGGAAGCTCAGTTGATAGAGCACCTGACTTAGGGATGCAGGGGTCCTGGGTTCGATTCCCAGTCCAGCCAAACATTTCCTATTACAGATTTGGTGCCATTGACCATCCCTGGACTTCCAGGTATAATTCCTTTCAGGGGCAAATAAGAACTTGCATTGTGCCTTCAATGGTGAAGACAATTTAAGGAGGGAGGAATATATAGGTTTGGGTCATGGCTTTTGTACAAAAAATCCAATTGAAACAGTAGCATGATTAGTCAGAGATTTGTTAAATACTTGATATCGCGATTACTTAACTTAATGGAACTCTTTCGCTGTGAAGGTAGGAAACTTCTATTAGCTGGGGGCAATGTGCTGTTGCATACAGCGTCAGTCGAGCATTGTGGATTTTTAAAGGGCGGATATGAAAGAAGTCCTGGTGAAATTGCGGAACATTCACTGAACAACGCTAATAAATTTCAAGAGAACCTAGTCCAAATGTGTTACATTTTTACTGATACTTTTTCACTAAGCCGACTCTTCTAATTAAATTCAACCATTTCTTTCTCATAATAGTTACTTTTGGACACTGATAAAATAAAACTCTAAACATTCCAATTAGACAACCTACTAATTGAAGTTCAACCCTTTGCAATACATTGTACTTTCAGCATACTAATTGTTCGAATCATTCGATTGTCACTAGCTTAAGTACTTTCATGCCCCGAAAATCTCGCAAGATTTAGAGTTTTCTTGACTTCACTGCAAAAGAGCGGCATTAAGTAAGATAACTGTGAAGTAATCGCGATACTAAGTATTTAATAACCATGATAACAAGAGTATATCTATAAAATAGACACGCCTTAAAGTTCTTTGTTAGATTTCACAATGACATCTGTTTGATTTCAAAATGAAACTAGAACTAAAATAATTTTCAATCTCATACACACATACAATATAATAACCTTCTCAGCGAAAGTCAGATTTCTCTCACATTCTGTACTAAATTGTGTTTTACAAGTTTGTTAAATGTTTGTGTTCTCTTGCATCTTGATCCTGTTGATGTATCCAGCCTGTGATTCATGATGCTATTTAGGAAACAGCTGGGGGAGGGTACAACACTGAGACATGCATTATTCACAGATTTGAATTCCTGCCAATTTTGGTGGAAATGAAGCACTTCTAGATTACTTGAAAATTGCATTATCATGATTATGTACCATAGGATGCAGTACTGCTACATTAGATAGATCAATCATATAGCTCTAGAAAACTGTGAAATTCATAAAGGGTCCTGTGGTATGCTTATATCAATGATCTTGACCTTGAGACCTTGACCTTTTAAGCACATGGCCCTGAAGTGTATTGATTTATAGTGAATACAAAGTCTGCATGCACTTGAAATATTTATTACAAAGTGTGTTCAAGTTATAAATCTTATTTTCTATGTAGTACACCATTGTACATGTACAATGTATTTTATACTAAATGCATTTTACATTAAAAAATATCTGAGTTAAAAACTTATTGCATCAATAGTCTTCAATTTTGATCTTGATCTCTTTGATAATGTGATTTGTAAAAACATGAGTCTTTCTGAAAGAATTTCCACCTCTATATGGTATATATGAAGTGTGTATGTTAAAAATGTTCAAGTCATTGCATGACAGTGATGATATCAATCTATAAACTCCAAGTATTATACCTTTAATTAAATGACACCAACATCAATAATTGATTTTTTCCCTGATCATTTTATACTACACATAAAGTCTGCTGTTTGCAGATAGTCCAAGTTTTTCCAAGAACAATAGAGCTTTGACCTTGACCTTTTGACCAAGGGACCAAAAAATCTGCGCACGTCTTCCTCTAACCACGCCCTGATGAGTTACCGTATGTTGTGAACATGAAGTGAGATGTTCAAGCTATTGCACCACATAAAAAGTGCTGAAAGATGGACAGCTAAACAAATGGACTCAGAGATTATTACAGGGCACTTGCATACAGAGTTCCAATTATAAACACATTCACAGGGTTGTCCCTAGGACCCAGGGGCGTGGAATTTCCCCACCTATAATGGCAGAATCCCCTGGGTATTCTGGTATCCCTTTCAACCCCCTGTTAGGGGAGGGACCCCAGACCCTCCTCTACTTTTTTCATGTCTCCTGTTATTTCAATTCTTAGGGACATCCCTGCATGCATGTATGTACGTGTAGATGCCTATATTAAAATACACTTTAAACAGGTTGAGATGCATACGTATACGGTAAAAGAAAAAATGCATCACCTGTCCTTTTGGAGGCTTTATCGAGGACCTTTTGTATCTTTTCCATGGACCGTCCTGACACCGCCCAGGTCAGATTCTGTCCTGGGGCTACCTTTGCTACTTCCTCCACAACAAACTGACCAGTGAAGCCACTGGCTCCGAAAACAACGATGTCATACCGCTCCGTCTCCATTTCCAGCTAATTTTATCTATAATGCACCTATCACTTAATTCCGATTTCTTTAATAATTGTGTTTAGAAGACGTAAAAGATCAAATTCCACTTCAACTACTGACAGCCAGGTTCTGTTGAGTCACCGGTTCATGCCGCTTATGCCCTAGAAAAAAGAATCATTCACTTATAATATAGTAAGAGTATTTTAATTCATTTATTGATCATTTATAATTAATTATCTATTTAGAATTAGAGGCAGTTGTTTTATTTGACCATTGGGAAAAAACTTATCTCACAAGGATAAAAAAAAATACCCGAACGAATAGTTCCGAGTAAGACTTAGCTAATAATACTGATCAATTGCACAAGCGGCAGTAAATTTTGAGATTTTCGACGCGTGAACGCACACCAGAAAAATAAAACATGGATTTATATGAAACTCATGACGATGGGCCAGGTTTTGTCGGAATTAAGTTTTGTAAAGAATGGTAAGAAAGTTTACCGCTTTTAAAAACTAAAGATTAAGATCTGATTCACACAAATGTCAGTTAATGATGCATGTTTATAAATCTTTCAGTAACAATATGCTGTACCCAAAGGAAGACAAAGAAAACAGAATATTGCTGTATGCTGTAAGTAGGACATGAAGTGTGTGACAATCTGATCACAGGGACTTGCTCCCGGAATTAAAATATTACAAAAATCTGGTACCATCTAGTAGGTGTGTTTTTTGAAATAATTTTTCTACACCCTGGGGACAGGAGCTTGTCACGACCAATTTGTCTTCTTTCTTTTTTCTTTCTTTCACCCCTACACTATAAAATACATAAGGGAGAAATCAAAACATAAAATTTTCCCTACCTCACATTTTCTTTCTTCTCGTTTTAATTTTTCATTTGCTAGGGGAATGATTGTAGTTTTTAAAAATACTTGTGAACTGATTGCAATGGAAACCCTTATTCAGTTGTAAAACATTTTCCAACAGTTTTACCTTACGTGACACTTTCATCTACCAATTTGGCGAGCGGTGCGCTCTCATTGGTCAATTTAATTTTCTTCTAAATAACTTATACAAGCAGTGCACTGACTAAATGCACATGTAATACTTAAATGCATACTGAATTTCAGTCTGAAGATAATAATTATTAAAATCGTTATTTGTGCTCATCATGATCAACACTACTTTCATCGTCACACTCGTTTTGAATTTCCCTCATGAACTTCACCTTCTCACTCAACATATTTTTTAAGCAGGGTAAGAAGATTAATATTGTGAAGAGCCCCTGTGCTCCAGGAGCAAGACCCTGTGATATTTTATTGTATTAGTAACAAATAATTGAAAAGGAATATATTCCCCAGTTGGAACGGATATAATTTTCAGCTGTTGTAGACTATGTAAACAACATGACTAATAGTCAACAAGTCCACATCTTAAATTAATGAGCAAGAGAGTGAAGTGAATTTATTGTTGATTTCAGTGTAGAAATTGTGACTATCAAGAAGAAGCTACCAATCCATGTATATATGTCAACAAAATTACCCATGAAGTTGAGTAAGTAAATTACTCTTAGTAAGTAGTTTAAACAAAATTACTGTTAAACTCTTCAAAAACTAACTTCAAAGATATGCTTTTGTGTGAAACTTGAAAAGTATGTCAGTACAGACACTGTTTATGTCATCTTGAAGGATTTTATGACAAGTGTATTTTAAATATCTACCGTATATACTCGCCTATAAGTCGGTCCGCCTATAAGTCGGTTGTATTTTATAAGCTTACATTTGAGGGACTAACCCACTAAAATACCAATCATTTTATAACTCGCATATAAGTCGGATAAAGAGTTTTGGACCAAAGTTTAACTCCAAAAAAACCGACTTATAGGCGAGTATATACGGTACTCGTACAGCATATTACAAAATTGGAAAGAAGATTGGGAATCGGTGTGCATATTACTGAGCAAGAGTGGAATAAACTTGACCTTTTTTCACTTAAATTTTAACTTTTATATTAATCACTTTAACCTAAATCATATTTTTATCAGATGTAATCATGACAATAAATATAAATTTATTTTATGTAAAATAGTTTATTTAAGATAGAATATTGACAAAAATTTCCCAACTAATGTGTGTGAATTATTATGACATGTGACCTATTTGCACTAATAAAATAATTTAGATCACCAAATTTTCGCAAGATAGGTATTTGGTACTTAATAACTACTTATTTAAGCGGGACAAAATTTTCATGAATTCTGGTTATTGCTGTGTATAAGCTATGCTAATAAAATTATACACGAGAACGAAATTTTCGCGAGCAGACAGTCTTGTGTAATTAAGCAAATATAAAGTTCTCCTGAATAAAATGTGTTTTACAGTAGTTGGGCATTAAAGATCTAAACACTCAATACATATAATATTTCCTTATATCAAGCTTTTCATGAATTTAGTGCTGAGTGGTAAAGAATATTATGTAATTTTAAAAAAAAATTCTTTTAATTTATTTTTTGGCCAATGATGTAAATCTTGAGATATGGGTCAAACTATGCAAATTTCAGACAAAAAATGAAGTTAATTTTATGTTGACTTTTTCAACATATTTGCAATTTTTGACAAAGTACCCAGGTATGTAGAAAAAATTTTGCATAAAGTTCGTTCTAAAAATATCATTTGAAACCTACATTGAATATTCCTAGCATATAAATTGAAAATTCTTTGAGTAAAAATATATAAGGCCAAAGTTCCAACATAATGAATTAACGAATTTTCCATATCACATTGGGAATGGGACCCAGGCCCTTGTAATTGGGAATTCAAAAAATTGGGAAATTTTTGTGCTATTGCAAGGCTAAATTTCAAGAATTGACAAGCGATGGTGCCAAGATTACCAGAAATAGAAACTTCTGTGAATTTCTTTCAAAATGCTACTTCTCTTACAGTTTTTGTTTGATTTCAATAAGACTTGGTACACAAGTAGACTACACGAAGATACATCTTTCTTTATTATAAGTACACACTAGTAGAGCTACAGTATCATCAGAGACTTCTGGTTCATTGAGTGTTGCACAATTTGCATCATTAAATTTACATATCTATGTTTTAAAAATCAAATTGTAATTGATAATTCTGATATCAAAGGTTCTGATCAAACTTGTCTCAAAAGTTGACGAATGACATACCCTTAAAATGATACCGTCCTACTAACCCTGTTAAACTCTGCGAGGGCCTTCACAAGACACAGAATATTCTACCTAATCATAAGCTTAGGGTTAGGACTTGATCATCTATTACTTTTGGTTTGTACAGATACATGTACTTACATCTTGGACATTTTGTTTCAGTGAGTTGACTCAGATTATAGGAGATGTGATAGCAGACCCCACCTTGCCTCGGACAGAAGACCACCCTTGTCCAAAATGTGCCCACAAAGAGTCCGTCTTCTTTCAGTCCCACAGTACCAAAGCAGAGGTATTTGACCCAAATGGCAGTAATTGTTTTCCACTTTTTAGCTCACCTGAGCTGAAGGCTCAAAGGAGCTTTTCTGATCAAAATTTGTCCGTTGTCCGTCCTTATCATTGTTGTTGTCATGAACTTTTTTTACATGTTCATCTTCTTCTTTAGAACCACTGGGCCAATTTCTACTAAAAATGGCTTAGAGTATCCTTGAGTGAAGGAGATTCAAATTTGTTCAAATGAAGGGCCACACCTTTTTTATTATTAAGAAATGGTGAAAAATTGGGTGGAATTCATGTAAAACTTCTCAAGAACCACTGGTCCAAAAAAATGAAACTCACGTGATAGCTTCATTCATGACCCCTAGGGGTATGGCGAGGACACAGTGGGCAATCAAAGTTTTACATAGGAATACTTAAAAATCTTCTCAAGACAGTAAAGCTATGATTAGTCATATTTATATGGATGCATCTACAGAAAATGTAGATTCAAGATTGTACAAATCATGACCCCAAGGGGTAGGGTGGGGCCAGAATGGGCAATCAAAGTTTTTCATTGGAATATATCACAAAAATCTTTCAAAATCTTTTTAAGAACAGCAAAGCCATAAGTCATATTTATATGGATGCATCCTCAGGTAGTGTAAATTCAGGTTTATAAAAATCATGACCATAGGGGATAGGGTAGGTCCACAATGGACAATCAAAGTTTTACATAGGAATATATAGGGAAAATCTTCTCAAGAACAACAAAGCTATGATTGGTCATATTTATATGGAAGCATCCTCAGGTAGTGTAGATTCAGGTTGTCAAATCATGATCCCCTGGGGATAAGGTGGGGCCACAATGGGCAATAAAAGTTTTGTCACAGTGTTATCAAAGTTTCACATAGAAATATATAGGAGGAAAAAATTTGCTGATGGCCAATCTGATTCAGGTGAGCATTGTGGCCCTTAGGCCTCTTGTTAAAAAATGTTTACTGTATAGTAACATGCCATTTCAATATTGTAGGAAGGTATGCGACTTTACTATGTATGTACCAATCCTCAATGTGTTCATCGATGGACAGAATAGATTGCAACTCTATGACTAAATAATTCATATACTCAAGGAAAAAAATATTCATCTATTCAAGAAAAGAACAGAACCAGTCTTCTCCTGCTTTTCTTGCAATTCAGAAGTGTAATATACATTCTTGTCCATACCTGTTGTTGACTTAACATTAAACTGCAACTTATTTTCCAGTGAATACAGCTCACATTAAGATGCAGATTTGTAGAAATTTTGCAGAAAGCAAGATTTGTCTTTGCTAATAAATGTAACTCTACAAATGTTGTCATTCATCAATGATTTAAAGTTTACACCTTTATTAGTGGAGAATAGTCATTGAATAATTTTTTCATACTTTGTATTCCAAATCCTGTCAATGTCATGTAGACAAATAGAAATGTTTGCATTTGTAAATATTTTAAATTGCTGTAGAATTCATGATAATTAAAGTGATGGAATCATTGAAATAATAGACTTCTTTCACTGGAATTTTTGCCTTTATTTCAATAGGCACTTTGAGCCCAAAAGTTAAGGGTAAATGATGAAACATTAGAGTGTAAAAAAGAAAATACTGCAATTTCTTTGCATATTTATTAATTTTCTAATTTTCTAAATTAATGTCTATACAAAGATACAGGAGGAAACAAACAAAACTGCCATAAACAAGCTACCAAATATAAAATTCTACCCAACAGAAAATCATTAACAACACAAATAACACATGTACTTGAAATGTGCATGTCTCTGCCTAATTATAAAACAATATGTGCAAAGGAATTGGTATATCAAATAAAGATGTTGATAATGCACACCTCTTAAAACTTAAAAGGTCTATCAACATTAGGAACAACTTGGATCTACTGGATTTTTAAAAACAACTCTACACAAATCAGTAAGACCATAATGATTTTTTTTTAAAGTCATTAATGAAACAAAGAAAGGAATTCAATAATACTTTGAGGTGCACCTGATGCTTTCATGTGCATTTATAGCTGTTCCTTGACAGAAACACAATACATAAACATTGTTTCATTATAAAGAACTCCTGAAATAAAAATCAACAGTCAGTTGCTTTTTTGGCTTTCTGTAGCAGACCTTGAAGGAAATTTTTGAAAACTGAATTGCTTGGCTTATAACCTGTTGACCCCTGGGTGGACTTTGTCCCATTTTCTGCTCTCCTGGGTTTATCACTTCTTTCTGTGGTTTTCAGTTTGTTCAGGCTCTCCTGTGACTGAGGGAGGTAACTCTTTGGATAGCTTCCGGGTGCTTGTTTTCGGATCACTTGACCCTTGTACTGTACATCCACTCTGTTCCTGGATGGCAGAGGTGGCAGTGGTTTGGTAAAATTGGAGGAATATATCACCCTGGATACTGTTTCTACTCTTTTCTGAGGTCCTCTGGTATAATTTTCTTGAGTATTTGAAAAAGCCTTTGAATTTTCCACAAGAGGATTTACATCTGTGGATGATAATGTTTTTTGGGGTCCTTTTGAGCTGTTGTTGTTTCTTCCTACTTTGGTTGCCTCTTTATCACCAAGAGTTTTATCTGGCATCTGAGGAGCCAAACCTTTCATAGTGTATGATTTCTTTAATTCATCTTTCTTTGTATCATTGGATCTTTGCATCCTAGGCAAGTCATGTTTTTGCTCAAAAGGACTGCTTGAATGCACCTTCCAAACAGACTTGTAAGCTGCATTTACTCTCTTTCCTGTCAACTCCTTCTTTTCATGACTGGTTTGTGCTTGAAATGTGACCATTTTAGCCTTTGTGCCATTATTTCCAGGTTTTGCCCCCTTCACCTCACCCACCAGGACTGTAGGGGTCTTCTCGACACATTCCGACTTCCCTGCAAGTTTTGTCGGTATTATTCCTGTTTGTCTTGAGATGTTAGCTTTTTTTGATCCAGTTGCTTGATCTTGAATAGCATTGCTTCCTCTTCCTTTATCTGACATTTTTTTACTCTCATTACTCAGTGGGTGATGAGGGCTTTCACATAGTTCATTCTTTTTGTTCATATCTTTAGAACTACTTGCATTGTATACTTGTTTCCATTTGCCAGCTGTTGTTGATGCCTTATGTACACATGTTCCCACAACAGCATTTGACCTTGAACCTGTTGATACAGTGTCACCCAAATGATACCCCTGTTTTTCACCTGATTGCAGAGATTTCTGTTGCTGTAGCAAAGGATTCTGGTGGGGAGTGGTTGTTGCCCTTGGCTTTAGAGTGGCATTGTTGTCTCTAGGTGGATGTTGATCAGTTTTGAGATTTATGTGTCTGTTCATTAGAGGAGTGTTAAACTTCCACTGTGACTCAACACTGGCACTGCCTGTGGTAGTTGGTCGCGGGGAGAAATTCATAATCCTTGACAGATTCTCTGTTTGTAACCTTAGTAGATTTTGATTTGGGTTAGGAATGTGAGATGAAGGCTGTTCCCCATTACAATGGTAGTTAAATGCACTTTCTTCCTCTGCTGACACTTCTATAGTACGACTCGTGCTTGTCTCTGTGTACATTTCATAGTTGGTTATTTCTCCCTCCTGTCTGTGCTTGTTACGACTCGTGCTTGTCTCTGTATACATTTCATTGTTGGTTATTTCTCCCTCCTGTCCGTGCTTGTTACGACTCGTGCTTGTCTCTGTGTAGATTTCATTGTTGGTTATTTCTCCCTCCTGTCCGTGCTTGTTACGACTCGTGCTTGTCTCTGTGTACATTTCGTTGTTGGTTATTTCTCCATCCTGTCCGTGCTTGTTACAACTCATGCTTGTCTCTGTGTACATTTCATTGCTGGTTATTTCTCCCTCCTGTTCTCTCTCTTTCCTCATCCTCTCTTCCACATCTAACTGTTCATCATCTACATTCTCCTCGCTGTCCTCCTCATTGTCCAATAACCCTGACCCCCCTTCCTCTCCGATGTTCAGCATGATCCTTTCAAGAGTCATTGGCTCAGTTATGGCCTCGTCCCATTTTGTTTTGATTTCCTGAGGAAGAACCTTGCCTTCTTTTTCCTTCTGAAGGTCATCAACTACCTCCATAGCCAGATCATACAAGCGGTTCATCAATGCAGTAGGATAGCGACAGCTGTAAACCATAACACTGCTGTAACAGTAGGACAGATTGTTCAACTCTTCCTGGGGGAACTTATTCCAATGGACAGACAGGAATCTTCTACGTCTCTGCCAGAAAGCCAGGCTTTCCTGTTCCCCTCTCAACTCCTCAATTTGATCTCTCGGGGGCTGCATGTCTATGGATTCTGACCTGAAAATTATGAATAAAAAGAACAACACTGTTAATACTTGTGTATGAATATCTGAAGATATTTTGGTCCATGTGAATTAAAATTATAAGAATTAAAAAAAAAAATTAATTATTATATCTCCTGCAATGACATGCTGTCCAAGATTTAAACAAACTCGAATCCAAAATTCCTGATTGATATCATGTGCCAACTTTGGATGAAACTGGCTCTTTCATTCTAGAAAACAGCTAATTGCAATGGAAAAAACTTTTGTTGAACAAGATTTTTTTTATAATTACATTGTAGAAACAATAATCCACCTTCCTGTGTGACAACATGAAAAAGTATGAAAAAGGATCAATGTCTGTAATTCGACTTAAAAACAAATATTTAAAGTACTCCTAAGGAGCCCTCAATGTACCAAGTTTGATGTCAGTCATGCAAAAGGGTCACAATATACTCTTTTATGTCCAGGGTATTTTGACCATTTACTTTTAATCTTATAACCTCAATATCAAAATGGGTTATCTTATTAAACAGGTCAAGGAATCTACCTTATATGGCAATTCTTATTATAGCACATAGTGGAGCTTACCATGAACAGTTGTCCAATCTGATAAATGAATAGCAGAGCATGATGATCTACTACAAGTTTACATTTTACTACAAACACATGGCAATATACCAGGTAATTTACTGAAATGCGGGAAAGACAATTGAAACTCATTTTCATTGCTTGTATCAAAATACAAAAAAGATGTTCCATGCTCACATCAAGAAATGAAGTTTTACTGAGAAATAATACATAAAAATCACAAAATCATCACAATACTAGCATTTAACTTCCAATGGCCAACACATGATAATACGTGCGGACTTCTTAGTGACTATAATCTTGGACACATTTTAGTGACTATAATCTTGTGGAAATCTTACTGATTTAATCTTGTATACATCTTATAATGACTATAATCTTGTACACATCTTACTGACTATGATCATGTGGACATCTTAGTGACTATAATCTTGTGGACATCTTATTGACAATAATCTTGTACACATATTACTGACTATAATCTTGTGGACATCTTAATGACTATAATCTTGTGGAAATCTTAGTGACTATAATCTTGTGGAAATCTTAGTGACTATAATCTTGTGGACATCTTACTGACTATAATCTTGTGGACATCTTAATGACTATAATCTTGTGGAAATCTTAGTGACTATAATCTTGTGGACATCTTACTGACTATAATCTTGTGGACATCTTAATGACTAAAATCTTGTGGAAATCTTAGTGACTATAATCTTATGGACATCTTACTGACCATAATCTTGTACACATCTTAATGACTATAATCTTGTGGACATCTTAGTGACTATAATCTTTGTCCAGAGATTCCATGTGAAATTTGTATTCAGTACTATTCACTACAAAATGGGATTATAGACAATTGTTCAACAAGTTACCTTAGACAATAAAATGGGCTAGGTTAAAGTTGACAAAAGACAGACAGACAATCAGGACAAAAGAAACACCCCTGTCAATCCAGGGGCCAAAAAATTGGCATAAAATTTCAGATGTATTCTTGTAGTAACCCATAATGCAACTCAACTCATTTAGCTGATTGGTCAGTGTGGAAGTCATGTTGGAACCTCATTTAATAGGTAAATTTACTCTGCACAATGCATCATTGTATGATCAATAATTTTTACATACATATACTGGGCTGTATTTGGTTCTACTTTACACCTTCGCTGACCCAAAATAAGTTTCTGATCAAAAAGTAAAATAGGAGGTGCACTATGGCACTATGTAATAAAGATTCTGTGAAAGTATCATAAAATTTTGTTCAGTGGTGTAGGAGGAGTTTCGGATAAGAGATGGGTACTCCTCAATATTATAGAAAGAATGACAGTGTCTCTGTTTTGCTATTGGAAATCGAAAATATGTGTCCAATCAAAAAGTAAAATAAGAGGTGCACAACGGCACTATGTTACAAAGATTCTGTGAAAGTCTTATTAAATTTTATTCAGTGGTATAAGTTTAAGAAGAGTTGGGGATAAAAGATGTATACCCCAAAACGTAACGAACAGACATACAGACAGATGAATGGACACCCCCATCACTATATACCCCCGCTTTTCAAGCAGGGGGTATAAAAGGAAGAGGGAAGGATATGGTCACCATTGACCAGCAAAGATGTAATATTAATTCAGAGGTTTAATT